CGGGCTCACGCCGCTGGAGGCTCCAGGCGGTGCCCGCGCTGTGCCCGCTGAGCGGATCCCGCTGCACCCCAGCCCCGCCCCGTCCCGCTGCCCCCGGGCCCCGAATGTGCCGAGCCCCCTGCCGGGGCAGGGCCGGGCCGGGCCGGGGCTCCGCCGCTGCTCGGCCGGGGAGGAGCGGGGCCCGCTCTGCTGGGAACCCTCGGCCCGGGGGCTGCCGGGGCTGCTGCGCGGAGCCGCTGCTCGGAGACAGGGACGACACAGACTCGGAGATCCACGTTTGCTGATCCATGTAAAAACGGTGTTTTTATCGCTCAGACCCTCTTTATATAGGGGATTTGGATTTCCCCGGCTAAGACAAGTGACGGGTTGGAATCTTGTCTCCACCCAGCTCCTTTGATAGCTCCACGTTCTGGATTGAATATGATCAGCTGAGGTCCCTGCTTGGGTTTGAATCAAACCTGTCCCTGCCTCAGCTGAGGACTTGTTTTACTTCTAGGCTGGTTGAGTTTGGAGGTCTGATATGACCAAATTTCTTTGGCAGCTACAGGCTGGCTGCAACTGTGACTCAGCGCCGCCTTCACTCCATCTCCAGCAGGAATCTCATCCACACCAGTGAGCCAGAAGAGTCCCTATGGCCGGTCCTCATCCCTGTTTGCACCTCTGGGGTATTACAGGGCCATGAAAAGCCAGCTGCCTGGAGAGTGGTCCCTCCTTACACCCCAAATTCCCCACTGGAATAAATACAGGTGGTATCTATGAGCAAAAGGCTGGAGGGAGCATAATCCATCCCGTGCCCTCTGTGCCAGTACCAGGGAAGTGACCTGGGTGCCAGAGCCAAGCTCTGTGGGAAGTCGTGAAGAAGCTCCAGGAGCTCTTGAATGTGAATGTGAATGTGGCCTGGGCTCCCCAAAGGCAGCAGCTCCTGCCTGTGGCAGCACACAGGGCGCACAGCCCTCAGGGAGCGATGGGGGCGCTCAGCGCCCTCCCTGCCGCCCTGGCTCTCAGAGCAGGACAGCTCTGGGGGAACAAGGGGGAGGCTCCAGGGCTCCCTCTGCACCTGTGCTGCTGTCCCAGAGCCCCCGTGGCCCCGTGGGCAGAGTCTGACAGGAAGAGTTTCTGCACAGCACCACAAATGGTGCCCACCCAACCGCTCCTGGGCTCCCACAAGGCGCCAGGAGCATCCACATGCTCTGGATGGCTGGAGCAGAGCTTGGGATCACAGGACACATCCCCAACAAGAAGAGCCCCAGGGAAGAGGAGTCTGGGTAGCAGCACCCCTACATCACAATATCCCCCACCGGAGCCCCACAACCTTCAGCAGGAGTCCCTGGTGCTCCTGGCTCTCCCACCATCCCTGACCCTCTCCCACTTGCCTCTGATGGCTGCTATCAAAATAAATTGACAAAATAAACCTAATTTGGACTGTAACTCTGTTTTCTCAACCTGAAAGGCAGAGTCCTGCAGTCGATCAGCAGCAAGTCCCTACAGGCTCCTGCTGCTGGGGAAGACAGAGCCGTCACTGCACTAATGAGTGAATTAGCTAATGAAAACAGTATTTAAAATAATCACAATATTTCTTTATTTGCATGTAAAGATGACATAATAAAAGATAATTAGCAGCATGTGAAACAGTTCTACTACTCAATTTTCTCAGTTTAGCTAATTAATTATCTTAGTAAAATGCATCATTATGGCTAATTTTAGAAAATCCAGCAGCTGCAAGGTCAGAGTGGGAACAATTTCAATTTGTAATTGGAAGAAACATTAAAGTGAGTCAGATAATCTTTTATTAGATAATAATAATAATAATAATGAATCACACAGGCACGTATGTTAAGTACTTTAAGAGACAGAAAATGCACTGAATCATTTAATAATGTCATCAAATGGGCTTTGTTAGGGGCTGCTGTGGGAGCATGAGGGAACTGGGCCCTCAGCCCTGCCTGGAGGAACACAGAGCCCAGTGCTGGCTTGGGGATGCCTCTGTCAGGATGGGGCTGGAGCACCATGGAGGGTCTGCCCTGGGCCCCCCTGGCTCTCTCTGCCCTCAGCTCGTGCCAGCAGCACCCCAGGGCCTGGGCAGGAGGCTCCCAGCCAGGGCAGTCCCAGCAGAGCCCCCTCCCTGTGGGCTGGATGGGAGGGCTGGGCAGGGACCCCCAGGGCTCACCAGAGTCTGCAGGGTGGCTGGGGGAGGCTGTGGGACCCTGGCATGGCAGAAGGACACGTTCTGGCAGACACCGGCTCCTGGTGGGAATTCCGCAGGGACGGGGGCTGCGGGCACATGGCAGGGCTGGCCTGTGCTGGGGAATTCAAACCCAGCTGGGGACAGGGCTGAGGCACAATGGGAGGGAGCCCAGGAGCCCTGTGGCACTGACCAGCAGCCCCCCATGCTGGCCCCACACCTCCATCCCTCCTGGGACATCCCTGCTCTGCCTGGGCTCTGCCAGAGAAGAGTCTTTTCCACCCAAAAGCAGCTGCTCCCCCCAGGGTGGCAAAGGTGAGGATGTCAATGGCCATGGATCTTCTTGTCCCAGCAGGACCAGCTCTGGAGACAGCCAGCAATGGGTAGACTGGCCCATCTCTGCCTTTCCAGAGACACCTTGGTAAGGATCCCTGGTGTGAGCCCAGAGCTGCAGTGTCACCCCGAGTGTCACACTCTGCTGGGGTGCCAGGCCCAGCTGGGCCCTGTGTGTAGGGTGGGTGCTGTTGGTAGAGCAGAAATAGAATCAATCTATTGTTTATTAGCATTAATTATAATCTACAAAAATACATATAATAAAGAAGAAAATCTCATGGCTCTTGGAGGAAGGAGAGAACAGGTCTAAACCTCAGTGCAGCCAGGTGAGCCTCCACCCAACTCCCATGGCTGCTGCTGTGCCCTGGGTGCTGCCCAGAGGGCACATGGAAGATCCCCAGAGCAGCATGAAAAGGCTGAAGCCAGGGCTGAGCCCCTGGGATGCTCCTGGTTGCCACAGCAACATGCTGCCTTCCTCCCTGATGCTGGGGTGTCGCCATGGGGATGACCTGGCCCACACCCCTGTCCTGGGGGGCACGGTCAGGGTGGGCAGCAGGCAGCCCACGGCATGTCCCAGCGTCACCAGGGACGTGCCAGCAGCACAGGTTGGGCCAGGGACACTGGGGGCACTGTCATGTGCAGGGACAGCAGCACTGGGCACACCCTGCACTCATCACTGCGGCCACAGCTCACCCCAGCTCCACCTTCAGCCACTCACCTGACACATCCTGACAGACACTTGTTCACTGTTTTCTCAGTTTAAAGCAGTAACTAAATTACATTTCACCCGGGAAAATTATCTGTACTGCAATTTGGCTTCATTTATGGTGAAAACCAGCTGTGCTACAGTGAGAACAGGCATCTTGGGTGTTGGTGTGCCATACTTCTGCTTCCTCAGGAAGTTTATAGGAACAGCTGATGAAAACAGAGGGCACTAGGGAGGAGTCATCTCCTCTACACTCCCAAGGCAAACCTGCCACCAGCTCCTCTGCTTGACATGAGGTGCTGCCAGCTGATGTGTGCCCCACAGAGCAGCTCCCCTTCGTTAACAAATCAGAAGTTAAATCTCATTTCTGGCCGGGGCAGAGGGTACAGCCAGGGCTGCTGCACACTGCGGCCACTCCTGCCTCATCCCAGGATTTATTATTCCTGTTCTTGCAGCAATCACCTGTTGGTGCCAGGTCACTCCACTCCCATGGAATGGAGCACCTGAGGGGCATGGGGAACCTTTCACAGAAACCAAGGAGCTGCTTCTGGCCGGGCCCTCCTGCCCTGAGGACCTGGAGGCCGCTGGAGCTGCCTCTGAGTTCCTGGGCTCAGAGAGGAAGGTTGTTCCCCGCTGTGCACCTGCACAGGCCCCATCTGCCGAACACTACCTGCTCCAAAACCTGGCTGATGGAGACCCACCTCCAATCCAAACCCTTAGAAGAGATTTCCAACCTCCCAAAACAGTTGGGAGTATCAATCCCTCCCCAGTAGGAAAGAAAGCATCAGGCTCCACACCAGCCCAGAACACCCTTCCTGTGCCTGGCCCTGCGTTTTGGCACTGCAGAGGCAGATACTCAACTGCTTATCACTCACGTTTGTGATTCTTCAGAGATCACTGTGGGACCTGCCTTAACCTTCTATCCTGGTTTAGGGCAAATTTGGGAGAGAACCTCTGAAGGGTTCTCTCTGAACCCATCACACCTTCCCTGAAGCATTGTGGTGAGGAGCTTGGGTGGGTGGCACCAGCTGAAGCTACTGAAGATGAAGCCAACAGGAAAACAAGTGTTCATATATCCCATCTTGAGGTTTATGAACAGTCACTTCAGTGTTTTTGTTCTGGTCTTCAGGTTGGGCAGCTTGGGCAAAGCACCAGAGCTGCTGCAGAGGTGAAATCCCAGGGACAGCACAGGGCCCCTGCACTGCAGCAGCAAAGACCAACACACACAAGTCCTGCAGCCCTGACCCACACTGGGAACTCTTCCCCCCCTGAAGGAGCTCAGAGATGCTCCATGGGGGTCTGGCTGGATGGCACCACCATCTCTCTAACCCACCCGGTTCCCCAGGGCTGATGGGTGCATCACCCTGGTGGGGACACAGCCCCAGGGCTGCACAGCTCCTCTCCAAACCCAGAGCTGGGGAGTTCTCTCCCTTCTCCCCTCTCTGCCCAGGCAGCAGCACCCTCACACCCTCTGCACCTGCAGCTCCTCCTGTCTGGGCGGGTGCCCACACTAAGATGGGAAGCAGCACATGGAGTGACTGGAGAACACTGGCAGGAGCATCAGGCTCCCTACAAAAGCCACTTCAATGCTTTCACTCCCCAGACTACTGAGATGCAACATGATTTTGTCACCAATGAGCTTCACTGTTCCCAGAGCTACTGGGGTGCAGAGGGTGTGCAATTCTGCACACCCTCTATCTCCTGTTGTCCTGGGAAACATCTCCATTGGAGAATTTCAACCAAGGTTTTGGAAAATAATAAAAATTGACCAGTGCAAAGTTACTAGATAAGAATCTTTAAAATTTATTGGACTAATTGTGTTACATTCAATATTTGATGTGTTTCTTCTGGACAAAGAATTGGCATAAATACAAACAAGCCTTTGTGTGCCTTCCCTAAACAAATAAGAGATAAAGTACTAGAGACAACAGAACATAGTTCACATCTTCATATTTACATTTTACCTTTACTTTACAACTTAGCGCCAGGAATATTTACAGAAAAATACAGTAAGAACAGAACGTTCATGTCTTGGCAACATATAGGAATTCATACAAATTGTCTATGATTGAAGCACATGATATCTGGCATTCTCACTTCTAATTGCTCCTGCTAAATCCATGGGGAAAAGGGCTGTGTTTGCCTTCAAAGGTATCACTCAATTACACAATCAGGAAAATGCATCAAATTTGTCTGTGAGGCTGAAATTTAGTTTTCTCCTCCTCCTGGGCATGCAGAACCTTGTGAAAAGAAACTCTGTGACCTACAGAGCACCCAGCAGGCATGGCCAGGGCTGCTCCTCCCTCCAGCCCTGCACACTGCTACCCACAGATGCACCAATTCCACAGGCACTGTCCTCCCTCTCCTACTTGCTCTAAGGTTCTAATGCCTTCCTAGAAGTACCTTTAAAAGAATGGCTTTTCTTTAAAAGTCTCTATTAAGGTACTAAAAAGTAAATTCAACACTGTGTTTAACAATGTGACAGTGGTCACCTCCTGCTCTGTTTAAACAGAATTATGAACTCAAACTGAAAGGCTGGATGAAAAGCATCCCTGGGTGGAACACTTGCAGGTGGAGGGGTGGGGGCAGCCCTCATCCCCTATGATGGACAGGGATGCTGACCCAAGCCACCCAAGCATCAAGTCAGGAATTCTATGCAGCAGTTTGTGATATATAAAAAAAAAATCTAGATTCTTGGATAACTCTTGCAAGTCATCATGGAAATAAACCTCATTTGCTCTGACCCTTCATGGGAAAAGCTCTAAGACAGTACCCTGGACTAGCTAAAGCCATTGGAATTCAGTCAGACTTTGAGGGGATGGATATAATTCTCAAACTGGTTGGGTGCATTTTGTTATGAAGCCTGAGACCTCCACACATCCTGGGGAAGGAGTGACAGTCCCTGCAGGCACCTCTGCACTGGCACAGTCTGCCCAGGGTGCCCACTGCTGTGACCAGCACCGAAACCATGAGGGCTGGCAGCACAATTTTGCATCACATTTTTATACTGAACTGTGATTTTCCCAAAGGCTCAACTTTCCAGAGAGCCAATCCCACCACACACAGCCATGTCACAGCACCTGTAACCTGCTCACCAGCTGGTTCTACAACACTACTGATACATGATACATCCATCCCTGGCACTGGGAGTAGCCACAACGTGCCCAAGTTCCCTTCTTTCCAGACTCCTGCCAAGTCATTGGCTCTCACAGCTGTTACTGCTCCCATGGGTGTCTTTAGGTGAGCATGGAAATAGACCCAAGACAACCCTTCAGCCAAGCACAGGTCCTTTTAAAGAAAGTAAATCTTCAGGCAGTCTACTTGACTATCCCTGTCAGAAACCACTCAAACTTGGGTTTGCCCCAAGGCCCATCTGCATTTGTGACTGCCCCTGACTGCCTGGCAGCTGTGCTGCATCAGCCGTGGCAGGTGGGGTTGCTTTTACACTATCAGTGTGCAGACACAGGGGTTGCTCAGGATGTTTATTGGTTACACATGCATTGCTCATGCCTTTTACACCAGTGGGCTCAAGTGTGTTTGGCCATTAATTAGCTCTCATAGGTACAAACACAGTGAGGGTAAATTCAGCGCCCGTGCATTAAATTGCTCCTGGCAAGAGTTTGGCAGAGGAATGAGGCTGTCCAAGGTCCCTGCACAGCTTGGCCAATGTGCCCAAACACTGCCCTGGAGCTCCTTCTGCCACCTGGGCAGCACACAGGAATGGGCCAGCCAGCACACATCCTGATACAGGCGTTTTCTTTGGGTGATTTCATTTTTTCACTTTTTATTCATCTGGATCAAATTCCAGAGCTCCTGAATTGAGAAGCCAGTGCACTTGTTCCCTGCAACAAGCACACATCACCTTGGTTGACCACCTCAGTCCTTTCACGTGTATTTTTAGGGGCCTGTTTCCATGAACTCTGTGACAAACCACAAGGAAAGCCAGGAGCGAGGTCTGTCCTTGGCAGATAAGCTGTAATGAAACAATTAAGACTGCTTCAGGTCAGAACTGTTGCAAAAAGTAGATCTGAAATATCAAAATCCAATGCCTGACAAGTATTACTGCAATGCAGAGCACTGTTATTAAAACCACTTTGAAAAGAATGTGAAGAGCTCCCCAAATTCCTGCTCACTCATTCTCTTCCCTTACCTGGTGCTGGAAGCATGAGGATCCTGCTGCTGCTGCCAAGCTGCAGATCCCAGGAATTTGGGAGCTGCACACTCTCTATCTCTGCAGCAGCAGCTGGGATGGGCCGGGATCCAGAGGGGCTCCCAGGGCTGCCTGCACCCACCACACCTCTGAGAGCCCAACCCTGGCTGTAAACTTCTTGTCCCAGCACATTCTTTGGGTCCTGAACACACCAAAGCCACAGGCTGAAAAAGAAAACTCCTGACCTAGGTGGAAGGGATGCACTGCTGCCGAACATGAGAACATACTGGAGATTCAAAACAATGTGAATTATAACTCCAAAGGGGCTTTCATGGCATTTGAATTAATAGGGAAAAGATGAATTCGTGAATTTTCTTTTTGAGTTGTTTAGTCTGTTTAACAGGAGCTTCTGAAAAAAGTTGTAGAAGCTGCAAAAACTGCTCATGCTATAAATAACAGGGAGGAGGCAGCCCCAAAATCTCAGATTTCAATCCAATGGAACGAAGGCAAGTGATGTTTATGCTTTTTATGGAAATGGTGAGGAGGTGACACAGACACTTGAAAATAAATTAAGTAGTTGCATTAAAAAAGGAATTAAAAAATAAAAATCAAGCTACTGAAATAAAATGTGACATTTTGCAACAGATCTGAAAGTCATAACCTCGCTTTTATAGAATCAAAAGCTCTATCCAATAATAACTCTTTCTGGAAAGTCAGTTAATTTCAGGTGATGGTGGTTGTCTCGTATGCAGATGGACTCACTTGGAGCCCTGGTGGGAGTGGCCACATACAGCATCTGGGCTTTGGCTTTCAGGGCCTGCTTCTCCCAAGCCATCTTCCTCCTCCGGCCTCTGGTACACAGATGGGTTACACTCAGTGAAGGATTTTCTGTGGAGCACTGAAGGGGGACTCAAAATGTCTTTGAAGTTCTTACAGGGGAAGTTAATGCTCTGGAACAGACTCCTCCTCCAAGGAAAGATCCTGCTTTCTTGCCCTTGGACACGTGGGTGCAGCAAGGCATCTAAGGCAGGTTGGTTTGTATTCTTATTTCCATCCTCATATGCAGAGATGGCTTTACTTTGATTGTTTTCCCCTCAGAGCAAGACACCTACAGTTCCTAATTAGTCGGGAAAGGATGACTGGGTGAAGAGATTATTTTGCTAGCATCCAGGAAGACTAGAATTCAGTAATCTTCTGAGGGTAGGTGAATCAATTCAATATCCCAACTGCTATGTTTCAGATTCATTTCTCATTCCTCCCACGTGGTATCTGCTGACTTGTGCTAGAACATGATTTCCTGAATTCCGGAGGGCTGAGAAAATTTGTTGTTGTTATTTAACTGTTTTCATTCGTGTAGCCACCAACCTCTGATCCAATTGTCCTGGAAGATAATGACCTAGGGGTTGCAGTTCTTGAGCCCAACCTCCTGGAAAAGTGAGGTATAAAACTCTGGCTCCAGCTGCCTGTTCCGGTATTTATTGACAATATCTGCGATTTTCTGTTTTCGGCGGACGTGGGGGGGGTTGTATGAGTCACTTTCCAGCCTCTTTCTCCGACAAATATTTATTACTGTCTGTCTCACTAGAAAACCTGAAAAACAAACAGCATTTGAATCAAGTTTAAATTCAGTCCTGCACGCCTCTTCTGGCCTCCCAGGCAAAGACAATTTTGGGCTCTGTCCCATCTAAACCCAGGGAAGATGTTCAGCACCACCAAGTCAAGAACGTAACTCCGTGAACAGTTGATGGCAGACAGCCATTGTCCCCAGGCTTGTAACGACCTCCATTGTAAAGAAGGAAGAAAGGGACTCACTCAGTGGTACCCTAAACTAACCAGAGGAGGAGGAGGAGTATCCTCAGCTTTGCCAAGCCAAGCAGCTGCCTGGAAGAAGCACCCTCGGGACAAGAGCACAAACCCAGGGCAGCCAATACAGGAGTCACAGTACCACAAACCCAGCTGTGCTGCACATCTGGACCTTAGGTGGGCCCTGAGGTCATACCAGGTAATTCCAGGGGAGCCCTGAGAATGAAAAAAGTACCTGTCAGTACCTTTTTCCAGCAGGAACTGCAGAGCCTTCCCCTTGGAAAGGAGATGAGGAAAGACCTGATGGGTTGTTGCTGCAAACAAATTTCCCTTCTCCTCACTGCCTTGTCACTTTTGTCACCCCTCTGTAACTCACACTGCTGGATGCAGATGGAGGAGGAGGCAGGGAATCAAAGTAGTAGCACTCAAAAGCTGGCAGCTAGCTTTATCTTACTTTATTCTGAAAGGAAACTTCTATGCTTCTAAAGAAGCAAGCATCCCTTACACCCCTTTGCTGTTTCACAAGCTCCTTCTTACAGACAGAAACATGTAGAGAACCTCACTGCACACAAACTACACCTGCTGCACTTAGAGATGAGAAAAATTTCACTGTATTAACAGTCCTGATGCAGCAGAAAAACAAGCCCAACTCTAGGAAAACATACCTGATAGTTTTTCAGTAAAAGCCACTGTCATCAGCTGAATTCATAAATGTTATTTAAGGGCCCAGGTCTGGCTTCAATTTGCCAATCACTGAATTAAGCATTCAAGCCCCAGAATCTGAAAGTCCCTCCAACAGCAGCTATGTACAGGTATCCTAATGTTCATGACTTCATTTGACTCTGTCCTGTGTACTGCTCTCGCTGGGTGGGGCTTCCAGGTACTGAAGCTAAATAGCACCAATACCAGGACAGGTCCATGAATCCATCCAGGAACAGAGGAAAAGGCAGAGGGCACACATGGAACCTGTTAACACACACCTGCACGGTATTTTTATTGAACACAAGACAATCCTCAGTTGCTGTGGTTTTAATCCCTGTCTGGCTTCTAAACCAGAAGGAACACACAGCATGCCAGCAAAGTAACAAATTCCATAGCACCCTCTGGTGCACCTTGGTTCTCTGTGCTAAATACCAGGGTCACATTTGGGATCTCTCCTATTTAAACAGGCCCTGTTCCTACTTCCAACACTCCTTCCTGCTATTCTGGCAGCCAAGTGCTACCCACCTGCTCCCTCTGCTGTTCCTGCTCTCACAGCTGCTGCAAAAAGCAAGGCTTTCATTGGTTCAGCAATGCCTAACAATTTTTCCAAAGAAAGATTCCAGACCACATACTTTGCAGATATATCATTATTATTAAAAAAGCCAAAAACATGAATATTCCTAAAACCCTTTAGCTTACCAAGAGCTCTCCTACTGACTATCATTCCATCCACCAGTGGGATAACCATGTTGAATTTCCCAGTTGCTCCTTGTAGTTTTATCCTGAATAAGCCAGTGTTTAGAGGATGGATGAAGATCACAGGAACTTCCTTCTCAGGAATGGTAGATCTTAAGGAAAAACACAATTGTTGAATCAGTTTTAAAGCACTATTTCAATTAATGACCCCTTTAAGTGTTAAAACAAAGTTTTAAAATGCCTCATGGCTAAGGCAGCAGGATCCTGGGGCATGTTGTGAACCCTCAGCAGGGCTCTGTCAGTTGTGCCATGCCCATGATGTCTGTCCCCACAGGACTGGAGAGCCCTGCAGCCAGGCTACAGTGTGTATGCAGCATTAACCACTCACAAGGGAGCCAGTCAGGAGGGAGGCTCACCACAGACTCAGATAATACTGCACATTTTCTGTTCTTTAATTTATATTTTATCTGCAGTGATATGAAGAAGTCTTTCACTTTTTCAACCAAAAACCAGTCCACTGAGAAACCAATAAAAATAATGAAAATAAGAGTGGCCTTACCTCAGGGAAGTGCTACTATTGGCTGTGGTTTCCACACCAGTGCTAGTCTCAGATAGCAGATCAGGGAGGGGGAAGTTTTCTGTAAGAACAGGATGCACCAAATAAAGTTTTGCATCTAACACAGTTTTGCTTTTTTTTTTTTTCTTTTTCTTTTCTTTTCTTTTTGTTTACAAGGTAAAATTATTTATCACCAGTCAAAACCACGCAGTCCTCAAGCATTTATAGCAGTAGTGTTCTTGCACAGCATCTTTGGCTTCCAGTTTCAGCATTCATGGAGGGCACACACACCTCAGCCATCTGCACTCAACAGATGAATTCCCAAACCTCAAATTCTCTCAATCCAAAGGTCTAAAATCTCTAGGGGACCCATGAAAGCAGGAAGGGGATGAACTACTTCAACCACAAAAAGATCTTTCCAATTATTGTTCACTGCATCTTCACCCATTCACAAGTGATCAGCCTCCAGAATACTGCAAGGAGCATTGAGCAATGCCAACCATTCACACCTATGGTTCCCTTGAGCCCTGATCCCACAAACATGATATCCTTCCTCAAATCCAAGCTCTGTGGAACTCTACCATAATCTACAACTTGGCTGCCATGCAACTGGTAACAAAGACTGGATAATGAACATGAATGAGATAAAAGTATCAACTTGAGTCCCTTAAGGGGATTTGGCACTTCTCACCACCTTGTTCAGGGGTTAAGAGAAGTTCAGAATTACTCACAAAAGTACAGTTCAGGCAGCAGGAGAGTGCTTCCAGCAGAAGGAGCCTAAGGCCCAAATGCAGATGAGGCCACCAAAGCTGGGATGCTAAGCACACACAACAGCTGGAGCAAGCAGAGGGAGATCATGGCAAGCCATGGACACACTCTGAGATGGAGCAAGAGGGAGGGCAGGCAGTTGGACCCAGGGGTGATAACCTTGGCTACAAAGTGACAGCTTTTCAGTGTCCAGACTCAAAGATGTACCAGAAGCATAAGGCCAAAGCCAAGAACATAAGGAGCATATGGCAGAGCCTCTGGGCTAGGAGTCACTTCCAAGAGCTGCCCTCCCCTCCATCCAACTGCCAGGCTTACTGAGGCTCACAAACTCATTTCTGCAGCTTCAGGCCCAGAACTCTGGGAGATTCCTATAGCTGCTGAAAGAAACAGTCAAGCAGTTGTGCCTGTGTAGCACAGCTGGTGTCCCACAGTGAAGGGGGTACACTGCCAGCCAAGAGCAAAGTGGGTCAGGGACACCACCTTGGAACACACTCTGGGCCAATGTCTGGACAAAGAAATGATGATGCAGAACTTGCTGTTTGCTTCCTGATCTCAGTAAGGCTCTGAGGGACACGCTGTGGACAAGGTGGTCTTCCTGAGAATTTCTATCTACACCTAACAGGAAGCTTCCTACTGACTGCTGCTCCCAGTCCCTTAGTCTGGGAGGAGCTAAGGCCTTAATTAAGGTCCACCCTTACTGCCAGACTAGGAACCAGGATTAGAAACCAAAGACAGAATAAAACAACAGCTCCTGGCCAGTCTCACAGACACTGGTGGGCTAGGCCAGTGCACAGAAACTCTCACATAGCACTGAGGCCAGGCCATGGCTTGGAACCAGCACACAAGAAACTCCTGGGGACAAAGAATTCCTCAACGCTGCTCACCATGGCCATGCCATGGCTGTAACAGGATAAGCAAAACTGGGTCTCTGGCAGAGCAGCAGTAACCTGAGCCAGAGAGGAAACACCAAACTAAGAAAGTTGCACAAGGAGCCGGAGCTTGCCTGAGCAACACAGCAGAAAGGGAGCACGGAGCAGGCACCCTGAGTGCAGAACAGAGTCCTCCCCTGACGAGAGAATATGGAGTTCCAAAGGTGCCATCGCACCAAGGAGGATGATGATCCCTCCAGCACAAAAGCAGGAGGTGTCAGAAGCAATTATTTTAAAGGAAGAAAACCAGATCCACTCCTAGGAGACAACAGCCACGGAGGACTCAAAAGCAGGGGAACACACCTGCCTTGGGTGCTGAGCTTAAGAAGGTTCATTACAGCATTTAACAGGTACTGCAGTGCTAAAGGAACCTTCAGACCTTCATATGCCACTGACTCAGGTACACCCTTATGGATCACAACTCAAATACTGAAGAACTGATTCAGAATCTTAGTGTTATAGACATTAATAAGGACTTAATTTGATTGTGAGGGTGGTGAGGGCCTGCCATAGGTTGCCAGAGAAGCTGTGGCTGCCCCATCCCTGGAAGGGTTCAGGCTGGATGAGGCTTGGAGCAACCTGGTTTAGTGGAAGGTGTCCCTGCACATGGAAGGGGGGTGGGACTAGATGAGCTTTAAGGTCCCTTCCAATTCAAACCAGTCTGTGGTTCCATGACCTAGCATTTTATTTAATTAAAAAAAAAAAAAAAAAAGAAGGGGTTTTCCTCTGGTTCCTACCCCATTGTTACTTTGGGGAACAGTTAGAAGTTGTACATACCTATATCATCATAGCGCTCCACCCAGACCACATACACTTTGGTTTCAGGCCCCATTGGGGGGATGGTCCGGCCCTGAGGCATCCTCTTGGATCTAGCAGTAGGACTGAGCTGTTTCCAACATAAGGGAAGAGTGGCATTTGCAAACACCATAAATCCAATAATGCAGCTAACAAGTACTTCCCAGCTGCTCCTCAGTCATTCATATCTCAGCCAGGTACAACCTCAGCCAGCTACTGAGCAAGGGCAGCTGTGCTGGAACTATTCACTGCAATCTGGGGCACCAAGCTACTAGTATTCAATACAAACTAATATATATATAATCAACCTTGAATCAGTTATATGCTTTTCTTAATGTTCTTGAAGACCTTAAATGAATAACTAAATATACATTTGGAAGCAAATTCTAAACAAGTAATCAGCAGTAACAAGTCTTTTGCTTACAGCTACAACAGCTCATGGTTTTCTGCTTTGTTAGTGTAGAAAAGCAACTTCTGGTACTTCAGACACAACTGACACTGTAACTGGGTAGGTAAGAAAAGTGTTCATATCTATCCATCCCCAATTTCCAAGCATGGATTTGAGGCTGAATTACTCTAAATACTGCATATACTCTTCCCTGCATGCATTTCATGATTTCAGGATGCAGAGTATTACCACTTAGCATGTCTAAGTGTTATATTTAAGTAATGTAATCTTGCTATCTCCTACTGTAGAGGCAGGACCAAAGCAGATATCAAAGATTAATGACAAGAAACAAGTAGCTCTACACACCAGGAAACCAAATCATAGACAATCAAAAATTCTGAGCATTGCCAAGCATGCTTCTTGAAAGAAAAAAAAAAAACTTGCATTTTTAATGCAAGTTTTGCCTTACCCGCTGGGAGGGATTAAGATTGTCTGTATGATTGGGGAAGAGTTCAAGTGTCAGAGGCTGCTGCTTCAATATTCCTGGCAGCAGATCCATGTTGGAGTCACTTTCTTGGTCAGAAACACTGCTTTCCAGTGAATCAGCTGTAAGTCAGAAGAAAAAAAGATGGGCTTTGTCTATTCTTCCACCAAAAAAATTAGGCTGCCATCATATATAAGGTTTTGATACTAAAAACTGTAAGGCTTCTGCAACTAGACATGCATAAATGTATGGTCAATATAGTCCTCATAAGCAGGAAGATAAGTTAGGAGATAATTGCCTGTTATTCCAGAAACAGACTGCCAATAAAGCACTCCCTATCAGCTTACACACATCCCAGCAATTTCCTATAGAATAGTCTCCTCCTTCCTATGGCTACATCACATTTTATTCCAGGCAACTTTTAGCATGCCAAGAATGCCAATGAAAGCTGTTGCTTTTTTACTTAGCAGTGGTACAAACACTCCTGTATGTGCTGCAGGAGCACATCACTGACAGGAAAGGAAAATAAAATGGCATCACCAGTTAATGGCAAACCACATGTCCAACCTAAAGCACCCTGGCAACAACAGAACTGCTGTGCATACCTGGACATCTACTGAGGTTCAGAGAAAGGTACAGAGCAGATGCCACATCTGGAAGGAGTTTAAGGATGAGAATGCTGTGATTTAAACGTCCACACCTTTCTGACAAGGATCTTGCTAAACACGCTACTTAGTTAATTGATTTAGGTTTTGCTTCTGAAAGAGTTCTCAAATAAAAAAAACTGTTGGTTTCATTTTTGTATAGAGCATGTACAGACAGATCTTACTCAGTGATTCCACTGGTGATGGGACAACAAAGGCGATTTCTGTCAGGGCATCTGCATAATACAGCACCTTCTTCTGCCCATTGAAGATACTTGCCCCAACATCTTCTGAGATAGTTAGATCATCTGAAATGGATAGAAAAGGAGAGTTCAGCCAGAAGGAAGCTCTACTTCTTAACACTCTGCATCAGAAATGACCTTGAAATATAAAGTGCAATCAATGAGAAGAAATCATGCAAATCTCATTTTAAAATGAAAGGAGTCAAATCTCATGGCTAACAACCTTTCTCAGGTAAAAAATTTTACTATCTTGAAGGAAAAGGCATTTTGGGTTGGGAATGGCTTCATTTTGAACACATTTCCAATGTACTGGATTCTTTATTTCCTAGTACTCTAGTAAGCACATCTGCCACAAAAATATATCTACTGTCTATTTCTGAACATTCCATCCAGCAACATCATGCAGTTAGTCATTCAATTTCCAAAGGATTCTTAACGTTTATCACTTCAGTCTGATACTATTCTAGAATTCCAAGCCAGTTTCTACAGGCTCTCCTCAGTCTTTTCTCTGTCAAGCAGAGTTAGAAAAAGATGTGTTACCAATCAATGCAAGAAAGGTCCTCATTTTCAGTCCCCACTGATTCCCTCACCACAACCAACCAATACAGGCTGTCAGAGCAGAGAAGGAACCTCCCTCCCCTCTTTTCCTTCCCCATGTCACCTCCAGAAAGACTAGCAAGGACTTTAAAATGAATTGTTGCTCTGATCCAGTTTACAGAAGGCTTCCTGGGATGGCTGTCTCAGCAAAGCCACTGGAGCAGTGAAATTCAGCATACTGACAGAGAAGTGGCCAGAGACATGTTGAAGACTCCAAGCCATTCTTCAGCATCAGGAAAAGATTCCCACAGCTCCAGTGCACAGGCTCCCAAGGAGCAGCACCACAACTTGAACCATCTCTTTAGGAATTTCTTTGTTTTTGGGGGGTCTGCAGGGAAATATTCCCATGAAATTATTTTAACCACATTTCACCAGAAGCTATCTTAGACTCACAGAATCATTGAGGTTGGAGATCATTGAGGTTGGTGTCCAGCTGTTAGCTCAGCACTGCCAAACTCACCACTAACCCATGTCCCCAAGTCCCACACCTGCACAGCTTTTAAATCCCTCCAGGAATGGTGACTCCACCACTGTCCTGCGCCAGTGCCTGACTACCCTTCCATAAAGAAACTGTCCCTAACAGCCAATTTAAACCTGCATGAGGCTATTTCCTCTCATTGTGTCATTCATTTCCTGGGATACTGACCCTGCCCTGGCTACAATGCTTTTCAGGGAGTTGTAGACAGCGAGAAGGTCTCTCCTGAGCTTCCTTTTCTCCAGGCTGAAAGAAAGGAGCTGAGGGAGCCCTCCCAGCTCCCTCAGCTGCTCCTCATTGGACCTGTGCTCCAGCCCATTCACCAGCAGAACCAGATTAGAAGTAACCTGCCCTTCCTCCCTTTCATTTCTGAATGCATTTTCTGTTTCCTTTTTCCCTGAGCTGGTTGAATTAATTCAGTTATTTAGTGGTCTGTGTTTTCATTCAAATGGCTGGAAAAATTCGAGCTGAAAAGTCCACATCAAACCAGGTCTCCTGCTAATTCAGGGACCTGCCTTCTGCAGTTGTTCTGACACAGCCACTGCAAAGGGAGGTCAGAGGGCTCTGCCTCTGAGAAAGCACAGCCTGACTCTGTCCTTAAAGCAAAATTAAATCCAGACCTGGCCATTCTGTAATCCATCCTGACTTGCTCAGAAAAAGCAATGCCTCTGTACTCTAACCTCTCGTGAACACTTCCAGCCTTCTGTGTTTGTACTTTTATTCCATAACTAAGGGAGAAGCCTCCAGCTGGCTGCAGACACAGGTGAAGGGCACTCCTAAGACACAATGAATGAGCACAGAGCAAGTGCTACTTAAGCACTTGCAGCTGTAACAGTGTCACATCTGATGCCAAAATCAGGTCCAGGATGGTGAACAAGCTGCACCAGCCTTGCCACTGCCTTTGGGTGGCCAAGCAGAGGCTGTGGCTCTGCAGATCAACCAGAACAGGTCTGGGCCTTGGAGCAGTGACACTGAAACCAGCCCAGATACTACCAATTCCCAGAGGATCTCATCAAGGTAACCAAGGGAGAAGCTAACCCAACCCCCAATTTCCCATCCTGGGATAGCAGCTCACAATCCTGAGGATCATTTTGGGTGACAGAATGGGGAGAGGTATGACAAGCTCAGGGTAGGAGCTGCTCTAGTGGAAAAAAGCAGAGCCAAAAAAGCAAAACAGAGAGCCATGTGGGGGTTCCAACACCTCCAGGACCTATAAACAGAGCTTGAATCAATATTTCATTTTAATCTACTTAGAGAACACACACACACACAAAAAAAATCACACTGTATTTCAAGCCTATTTGCCAATACACAGAGCAATCTGCAACAGATTTCACCTGAATACTAGTTTGGAATAATATATTAAAGACTCTTCAAATCTTAAAAAATATAGCCCAGAGGTATTTCTTTTGCTGAGGCTACTTCCTCCCAACAACATACAGACAATTAGTTTTGCTCACTCTGACTTGAAGCTTCATTTAATATTTACATGTTTCTTTCTAGCAAACATCATTAATCAAAAAAACCCAATCAAACAAATACCCCAAAATCAAAGACTAACAAAAAAACCCAAAAAATCCCAAAAATACAAACCAACAAACAAACAAACCCCCCCCCAAAAAAAACCAACCAAAAAAACCCACCAAAACCAAACCAACGACCGAAAAAAAGTAAGCCAATGTTCAGATAGGTACACAAGAACAAAAAGATTGTCTTCTAAAGGAGCCTAAACATTTTAATTTACTACAAAGGACATTTACTATGTCTTACCTTGTTCAGGTCCCTCTTCATCACTGCAGCCATTGATTGACCAGCTTGTTGAGACATGACCAGTCCACCCAGGGTGCTTCCCAACATCAACAGACCAGCCAAGAGACAGCAAGAACTCCAGGAAGTGAGGCTGAACAATTCTGGAAGACTCCATGTTCTTCAGGATCTGAAACCACCAGCAGCACCATGTTGGTACAAAAGCAGGAAACAAGTCTCTTCCTCCCCAGCTTTTTAATTAATTTTTTGTCACCCACTTGGTTTTGCCCAAATATAGCTAGAGCACAAGCCTGGAACCCCAGACTTTGTACATGGACATTACTCCCTGCTCCTCAGCATCTCCTTACCCTGCTTGGCCTTGTCCTGTTCAATCAACTTGGCTTTCTGCCAGCATTTTCAAAGCCTGTAAACCAGTGAATTAAATGGCTGGAAATTTTGAGACTCAAGCACCCATCAGAAAAACCAGTGAGTACTCAGTGCAGAACCTGCATCTGCACCAAAGGTAACACAAGAGTTTTCTAGACTGTTTGCACTATTAGACCAAGTTAAATTTGAGGTGATATTTTCCTCACTACTCACCTGTACATGACACAGACTGCTCTAAAGGGCAGGTATCACAGCCCATTGAAGTATGAAACAGATTTTCCAAAACAATTTTCAGTAGCATTGAGTGTGCACGTCAATCAAACATCACACTTAAACTTTAATTCTACTTCTGACAGAGATCTGGGATGTTTCCCCATGTTAAGGCAATTTTTTTCTCATTATGACCAAGTGAGAGTTGAGCCCTTCACCAAACAGCACACAAGGACACGTGATTTGGATACCAGAACCACTGGGATTGGTGGAACAAACAATCCATTAATTCTTTCCAGGCCATGCAGGAATTTGTTTTGTGGCAGAGGCAGCAATCATTTTGGCTTGTGCAGGGGCAGAACACTGGGACACAGGCTCCAACTAAGCAGAAATTGCAGGGATGAGTGCTGAAAGGAAAGCTTTCAGGCTGGAGGCTTTGTGTAGCCACATAGTCCTGACACTCCATCCTCATGCCTCATACAGTGTTCAGCAGTGACTAGACACACTGCACTGAAATATTATTAATCTCATTACTGAGCACATTGAAACCATAGCTGTGCTTCAGAAAAAGTCAGGGTAAGTGTGGGCTGGAAGACATAAGAGCTCCATAAGAGCATATAAATATTCTGGTAGTTCAGCAAGTGCATGTCTAAACTGAAAGGCAGACCTAGCATATCTTGTTTCATAGCTCCCTTTGCAGATGAAAAGATTCTGCACTGGCTACTCTGAATGACAATTTGAACACTCACAGACAGATGATCCTGGTTTCAAGAACTGCCCCCCACATCAAAGCAGAAGGTGCTGCAGTGTTCTGCCAACTGTGCATTCACAGTGACACAAGGAGTTGGCACAATGATTTATTATGGAGGCCATGCTTCTACTCTTTACTACAAGAGTTATGAATGGAATGAGAAGGTACTAGAGAAACAGAGAAACATCCTTTCCTAATGAGCCCATTAACCCTCTTAGCATGTTTCTAGGTCACAAAGTAGTCCCAGTTTAGATTTGCACAAATTAACCTGATTAACCTAATCGCCTTTGAATCTAAATATTATAGCTTAAAGACTTACAATGCAATAATACTTCCTTACTTGCAGAAAGTTTTTTATTCTTTTAATATGTGTTCAGCATTAGAATGAAACCAAACTACCTTGACATTGCTCATTGCTGGAACAAACTGCAACCTTCCCTGCAAGCTGAGCCAACAAAGCTGAAATGCCTTTCTGATCTGAATCTTTGAACTCTACAAATAAGGACAATAAGGACAGAACAGATAATAAAAATACTATTAATATTATAATATACATCTTATCTATATTTTAAAATACAGTAATTTGTTACAATAATCCTAAGTGTGAGCAACGTACTTGAACATACAGATGAAGGGAGTATGCAGTGACTTGTAGCTCGCACTGGTTCTGACATCCCACTCTAATCACCAGCACTGATGCTTTACTCACTTGGAAACTACTAGAAACCAGACAATATAGGCTAGTTAGCACTCTACATTTTCACTTACCTCCTGGCTAGTTTTCTGGCCTGCCTTCATGTAGAAAATGAAAACAGTATCAAAAGGACGACACGGTAACAAATCCAAGTAGCCAAGGTCATCAAAAAACCCAGGAAGAGCAGAGTCAAGTGCAATCAGGTGAGGAGGTAGACGACTGTTAGTAGGTTCCTGCCCAACAGACAGAGTTCAACAGCTTAAAAACCCATCTACTAATTTATGGCTTCAATGGCAATCCATTAAAATATAAAAAGACAGCTTCCCTTCTCTAAGAGCAAAATTATACAGGGACTTCTGATGCAATATAATCTTGTCACTGTAAATGAGTAACAGCAAGCATAACAGGTTGACAATTCGTTGCATTCCACTCTCATTAAATAAAATGGTACTTTGCCAGTGAGAGACAATATTTTGTTCAAGAAGAGCACGCAACAAAAACAGCAGATGCTTTTAGAATATCACAGCTATGCACACAATTGCATGTGCAGTTTCAGATTAACTTAAATACCAGTGATATGTTATATACTGAACACTTTCAGACCTCATTCTTGCTACTGCTTTAAAGTCTACTCCTCCTGACAGCTTTCTGGAAGGAAAAACAACAAATACAAGGGAGACTCCATAGGTAAGAGGCAGAATTTCAAATTAAGAATACGGATCTCCTCTTAAAATAATTATTTTAATTTTAAAAATAAACCTCGACATCTACTATGTACCAAGTGTTTATGTATGATTAAACTACCTCAGCACAACCACCTCTGAAGCAAAACTTCTATGGCAGTTATATTTCAGAGAGTCTTCAAGGACCATCCCAAAACCTAACTCAAGTTGTAATAATGATTTTAAGTGTGAACATCTGAGTGTGATGGCTTATAACAAAGATCCAGACACCTATTCAGAGCATTATCAGCTTGAGGCCCAGCCTTTCACAACCTTGCTCTGAATCCTGGAATACTGGATTCTATCACTTGATTTGATTAGATTGCAGCTGAACAGCAGTTGGAAGTACACAGATCTTCCACTGACAAAACTTATTTCTCCTTTTGTCAAGCCAGGCCACATGGGAACTGGAGGAGCTGCACAGCACCAAGAGGTATCAGATCACCTTCAACGCCTCTAAGGAGAGGAACCCGAAGTGCGAGAGGAACAGACGCGCTGTCTGGAACTCCTGCGCCGGCGGCGGGGGCTTGCACTCCGTGATGGGGTCGGGAAAGCTCTTCTTCCGCCACTCCTCTTCACTCCTCTGATCTATGGAAGTCTCAAAGACAATCTGCTGAGCCATGCCATTCCTCAGCTTCTCATGGCGCTCTTCAAGCTGGAAAACATTGCATGAACTGCTGATGTCACCACAATTACAAACGTCCACTAAGAAAACAATACATCACTTAGGAAAGCTCTACAGCAGCAGTCCACCACCAGAATGGTTACTAAAACACTTTCAAAAAGACCTTGCAACACTGCAAAAGTGAGCACCTTAACACCTGTTGGCACAGGAGAGCTCTGTGAATATCCAGTATCAGCTATGGCTTCTCCTATTCAAGAGGACAGAAACTAAAACAAATTAGACCCTGTGAAACTTTAAAATATGAGACATGTACTCTTTTCTTCCCTCAGAAAGGTCTCATAAAAGACCCTTCTATTTCCCCAGAAGAAGCAACAAATGCAAGTCATTGTTTCCTACAGTACCAGGATATTAGGATCAGTAATAAAACATGTTGAGCAGTGTCTCCCAAATAACACATCCAAAGCACTGGCATCTTCTTGGAGAAGTGCACAGATATAACTAATTTTCAGAGGTTATTATTCCATTAATATGAAATTGGATAAGCCAAAGAGTAAAACTATTTACACTAAGACATAAGTGCACAACTCATGAACAGACCAAAACCCCAAGAAAAAAATCAAGTCAGAGACAGTTACTTACTTCCTGATTCACAATTTCATGTAAATCTGGAATGCTCAAGTCAGCTTTCACAAATGGAATCTTGTCCACTTCTTCAGGAAAAGGGCGTTGTTTCACACTGTGTTTCAACCCAACATCATTTTTGGGAGCTGGTCTAGGTTCTGGTACAAATGTCTGACAAAAAAAGGTTGTTTTTACATTCAAGGTATTTCATCAATAGACAATATTGTAACAGATAAAAAACATTTTCCTTCCCCACCAAAACTACAATAGTCTACTAGTGAGCAGCATTATTAAAAAACATTAAATATTTTAAACTAATAGGCTTGTATTGAAAATGTGACTGTAAATCTTAAAAAGACAGAAAGGTACAACTGCCATTTTGAAATCTATGAACTCTGCTAAGCATCTAGCCTGTAAACAGTTGCAAACCACCTCCCCCCACCAAAAAAAAGTAAGCTTACATAGCAACACCTTATTTTCAGGCCATTCTAACTGTATTCAGAGAAAGCTGGCCAGTATTTGAGAAGATCCATTTGAACCCTCCTGACTGTGATGATCACAACAAGCCAAGGCCTCAAAGACAGCAGCAATGCTGTGGGTCAGGAGATGCACTGCCAGAACAGCCAAAGGACTTGTACCATGGATCATGATGCAATTTTGACATTGCTACTACATCATGTTCTATACTGTCACTATGTAATCCCAAACTTCAAGTTACCAAAGAAAGCAACAAATGATCTAGGTGCAGGTTTAGAGGTGCATCAGCTCCAAACAAGCAAGACCCTTACGGCATCTTCAGTGCTGTTTCCTAAGTTTACGACTGATTACATTTCAAAAGGCCAAAACCATTAACAATTATGTTATAGAATGACTTCAAGGTGGACAAGTTCCCTTAAAACTGGTGAGGAGGCCAGCAGTCAGATCATGGCTTGCCCTTTAGTGAAGCAGGTAGCACACCTGGACTGAGATTATTTAGCCAAGGGTCTCAGCTCCAGAGACAGCAGAACTCCAAACACATCCTGGATGGTCTTTCCAAAGGCTGCTTTGCAGAGACCACATTCATCTAAATATGAACATGCCAGTTGAGACTGACAAGCCTTCATTTCAGCTAGATTAGTGCCTTTCTGTTACAGAGGGTCATGAGAAGAGTTTAAAAATTTGGAGAAGTTCACAGACAGAAATTCTCATGACAAGAGTACATGCTCTGTTAGACAACTGCAGTAAGAAATTTTACGGTAAAATAAGACTGAGGTATCTCTCCTCCACCATTCCTCTCCAGAGCTGTTCCAGAGCTCCTCTAGATAATTTTTTTCACAGCAGGTTTACAGCCATCATTGCAACATCAGGCCTTGTAGCTTGAAGACCTGTTCTCTCTGCAGCACCACATTCTACACCTCCAGACTTCACTCTCTCTGCTGCAAAGGCTTTCTTTGTCTGACACCTGAAGACTAGCCCTGCCTACACAGTAAATACACTGTACCTTATCCCATCACTTCAGAAGATGCTTTCAGGAAAAAAAAAAAAAAGAGAACTCTCCCTCTCTCAAGCAAGTCTGCAAGTTGAGAAAGCAACAGCACTTTCACAGTCTGTAGTTAATATTAATCACAAGTGGTAAAGAGTCACCAGAGATGTGGCACATTACCTACAGCTAAAGGCCCCGTGGCTCAGCCTTAATGCATAATCACCAGCTCTGGGGGGCTGTCTCACATTAGTGGAATTTCTGTTGAACACCTCTAATTAAAGATTTCTTTACGGGCTTTGATAGAGACCTTTTGATTTGCTTTAGCTCCTCTTGGTAAAAGACAGAGTTGCTGGGCCCACGCAAATCTTCCAGATGTCCCACGGATCAACACCGTGACAGAGGGGAAAGAGTCATCTGCAAAGCACATGGGTAAAGAGAATAAGACATCATCATACACTGCAAACAGTTCACTGTGTAATCATTCAAGAAGAAGAAAATGCAGGCATGACAGTAGAGGTCTTTCTTTCATGGTTAACTCCTCCCTGACCCTGAAGAAAATTCCTGATGAAAAATCAGGCAAATCCCTCTGCAGCAGCTAGTGCTAGTCTATGTCAGTTCAATACTTGCCAGCTCAGTTTCATCATTAAAAGCAAGTTTCGTCCAAATTCATGCAGATCACAATTTCTCGAAATACCTCCAAAGAAATCAAAGAAGACACTGCCTGTTTAGGCGAGACAATGATCATATGGAGACACCATTTACATCATGCTTTCATGACCTTCTGCAAAAGTTCCTCACAAATGGCAGCAGTAAGGACAGTGGAAGGACAAAAGATAATGGTAAACAAAGACCCCCAAGATTCTGACTCCACATCACTGAGAATTTTTCCCCACAAGGAACAGGGACACAGAGAAGTTGTCCTCTCAGGTTTGCAAGACCCACTTGGGCAACACCAGCTTGTGTTATCCTGGTCCAAATCCAGTCCTGGCCTTGTCTACAGCAGGAGGTCAGACTACAGAGTCCTGAGCTGCCTTTCTACTGGCACAATGCTGGTTTTAACATTGCAGGGATTTCAGTCTTCCTTCAAGATTTAAAAGTTTACCAGTAGTAGTCACCTTGGATGAGATCATCATACTTCATCATAAGCTTTCCTTCTTGAAGGTATTTGCATTTATCTTTTGTGCACCTAAACCACACACTGGCACTATCAGGTAACTGGCAGTATTCTACTCCTTCCCCAGTATTCCCTGGGAAGCTCAGGGTGCAGCACAGCCTATGCACACCCTGTACATAAGCACACAAACACAGAGAGAACCCAAACCAGCTCCTCAGTCACTCACTTCTGTGATCTGCCTCAGAACTGGCCTGACGTACTTGCGCATTATTGCAGTTCATCTTGTAATTCAAAGGGGATTTGTGAGCAAGTTATACACAGCAAGAAAAGATAATCTAACTTTTGATTCCAACAGCTTTGCAGGATTCCACAGTAACACATTTAGCAAAGGCAGCATGAGGATGAGAATTGCTTAGCAAGCTCTAATCCACTCCAGTCAGAAACACATTTGCTCCAACACAGACTGGGGGTGGACATGTGGCAATGGTTCCCAGCATTGTCACTTCCTGCAATATCTGTTCAGTGATTCTCAACATGGTCAGAGCACTCTGGACAACAACTCAACTTCTCAGCACTAGTTCATGCAGTTCTGTGCAATATCTGCTTTCAAGATTAGTTTTTAGGCTCCATCCTATCTACAGATGAGGAAAATGTATTGGGGACAGTACATCAGCTCTAACACAAATTAGTCTTTAACTGAGGTAACATGTTAAAGAATTTTCATCTGTTCTATTAGGCAACACCATGACACGTGAAGACTTATGGGGGATCAGTTATTCTGTTCAAAGCATCATTTAATACCAGATTTTTGTAATAGAAGTTGTTGATGGTCAAAGTCTATGAGGCTGAAATGAGTTAGGCTCAGCTGTGAAAGGTAACACCCTGTGACAAATCTCCTTTACAAGGGGTGTCATTGACAGAACAGGATCAGACACAGCAAAGTTTTAACAACTCCAGAGGAACTAAAAGCACCTCTGCTAGAAGCATCCACAGAAATATGCAGTAATAGAAGTCTAAGGCAAGCAGCAAGGAGACATGGTGCAAGCATAAAGGAGACATACTAACCATATGTTAAGCACTTTTCTCTATCAAGTTTCCTATACTCCTTAGATTTTTATTCTTGTATGAACAAGGATGTTTCAAACCATAATGCCATTACTTCACCCATTATTTCAACGGCAGTCAGCAGCAAGAATGTGATCTAACTGGTTGAAAGACTTGGACAGCAGCATAAACGATTTGGGTAGGCCTGTGCACATTTCATTATCACTGGCAATAAAGTTATTCCCAACACTTCATCCCAGAGCAACACTCTGCTCTGTGTAGCCACTCACAGACAGGAAAGCCCCTGAAATGTGAGAGACACGCCTGAAGTACCTTTGTTTTGCAGCTCTGTACGGAAAGTTTTAGCCTGAGAGAGAAGGAAACGGGAAATCTGAACTTACTCTGTTCATTCCCTAGAGGCTGCTCCAACATGGCCAGGATGACACTGTTGTCCAAAACAAAGTAACGGAAGCTGTGCTTGTTTATGGTAGGGAGACGGGAATATTTAATTAACGTGGTTTCATTCACCAAGCTGCAAGGAGAAGCAGGACCACTGGGAGAAGGAAATGCTCCAAGTAACTGCATAATGCTGCAAGTGAGAAAAGAGTTGAGAGTTATGTTAGATTAAGGGAACTGTTCCACCCAAGCACAAACTTTCACTCAGATTCTTCATCTGTCTCTTGACCTAGCAGTTATATTATCAGGGCACATTTGCCCTCACCCATCAGGTTGTTGTAAGATAACCAGCACCTTCAGAAAAATATGCATGAAAACCTACAAAGAAGGGTCCTCTGCCTACAGAATGACCTTCTTTATAACCTGGCTTATAAAGCTATTAAGACATTCTTTAAAGCATGAAAATCTTCCTTAGCTTTATGTACCCTTCCATAGCTTTATGTTCATTTTTAAAACATTATTTCTCCAACCATCCATACTTTAGCCCTTTCATATCAACAGGTAGGACAGACATTGCAGTGCACTAGCTAAAATTGCCTTTGCTTTCTTCAAGCCCAGATTACCGTACCTTAAAAGCCTTTAATGGGTTGACACCCTAAAAGGTCCAGGATCACACAAGCACAACTATCACAGATTGTAATCTTCCCTGGAAGAAAGCCTCCAGGTGGGGTCCAACAGTGCCCACCTCCTTGGAGCCACAGCCTTAGGAGGCCCCTAGAAGCATCGTTTTAAATCATTTGAAGTTGTACAGGGTCTCACTAACACTATTAGAAATTGAAAATTTCTATGTCAGGAACCAGTAATGAGAGTTGTCCAGTGTCAGACTGAAGTTCACACCATCGAGGTGAGGACTTCACCACCCTTAACACCAACACCCAGAGCAAAAGTAAGTCTATTGATTGCCCTCCCCACACACTTTTCCACTGTATTGTGAAAACAGTTTCATCTCTCTAAATAAAAATAAATTTCAGGCAACAGTATGGATTTGTCCACAAATTCCAATGAGTAGTTACTTTTTCTTGGAACTTACACAGTTGTTTTTACTAACAGTAATGTTTATAACAGTTGGATTCTAAAGCAGAGCAAAAAAGAAACCAGCTATTGCCTTTTGCAAAGCATATTTATCCTCCCCATCCTCAATCTGTCCTGTCTGCCACTGTGCTGTTCAGCTCATAACACAGTGCTTTCCAACTTCCCTGGAGCAAATCCCAAATTTCCTCTCTGTGCTTCCCTTCTCCAACCCACACGTTATCTGTTACTGCATTTCCAGCAGAACCTCTCAAATTTATTAATCAAGCCCAACGCTGTGGGCAAGAAGCCATCCGATCCTGCTCCAGCACACGTGTGCTGCACGTGCCATTCCCTGCTGTCACAGTGTCCAGCAGTTTCCACCAGAGTGGGGACAGCATATGCTGTCAGGCTGAGGAGAGGAAAGGGAAAGACAGGATCACTGGGGTAAGTGAAAGAGAGAAGGAATTGCTGCCTGCAGAGAGGCCTGGCCAGGAACAGAACACCACGGCTGGAGGAGGGTCTGGGTTTTGCTGTACAAGGAAGAGAGGAGGCAGGAGGGGAAAACAGTGATCAGAGGGATCTGTTTTCTGTAAACACCTGCAAAGGAAGGGGAAGAGACCTAAGGCAGAGCACAGCCCTGCCCAAAGGGCAAAGATAGGGAACTTCTTCCTAATTTCTTAAACACTTTTATTACATCAGGGACCACCAGCTGCAAACTCCCTGTTAAACATTCTCAGACAAGGCAGTACTGAACATTAAAGGTGCTCTGACAAATTACATACCATGTCAATGTAGCTTCAGCAGCATCCTTCACTCGCATGGATGCAGGGTTTGGCTCCTTATCTCCTTTGTACTTGACCTCCTGCTCACTGTTTTTGGATTTACTTCCTGAAATACCCAGCTCCACAATCTCCAGTACCTCTTTTAAACAGTCCTAAAACACAAGAACCACATTGAAGCAGAAGCACTTGGATGAATATATCCAAAACCTCAAGGGAACAGTGATGTATCATTAAGTCAAAAAAACACTGCTTGTAATATGAGTTATTTATTTAAAGGCAGAGGATTACTCCTACACTGTTAAAATATGATCACGTTTACTATAGAACTGGTATTTTTTCTGTTTATAGATGTGTACTTATCTATTTATATTCTAATGGTAAAAAGGTCTCTGAATGGATAAATACACACAATGTATTTCATTGAACAAGGACTATTATGAATGCAACAGAAAAATGTAAACACACTTTAAGAGATAATACATGTATTTCTAGGACACTGCAGAAGTTTTAAGTACTAAGCACATTAGGAATGAACTCATCTGGAAAGCTGCAAGAAATCCTTTTCCAAATTTTTCAATTGCCAACATCATTAGTAAAAATACATTAGTATTTCATTAGTAAAATATATCATGGTATCTAAGGAACCAAGAGAAAAATAAGAACATTCTAAAAGCACATTCTAAAAGCTTCAACAAATCTATTACAAGAGAAGCCAGCACTCAGTAAACCTACAGATATGACACACCAGTGCTGTGCAGAACAAAATTACCAGCTGAAAATATTCAGATTGCTACAACAAAGGTTTGGATATCATGGCCTGAGCTACAGAGTAATAAATAAGGGATTAAAACTAAACACAATTGGTCAGGTTGTACCACCAGAAACCAGACAGGTTTCTGTGTCTTGGGCTTTGTCCTTCCTTATATTCGTTGTTGATACAGAATAAAAGGTGAAGAGAAAAATCAAAGTTCTCTAACAGAGTAAAATTAACCAGCATTGAGCTGAAGATTGGCCACAAAGAATTGCAGCAGGAGTTTACAGACTAGCAATATAGCATGTGAAATTTAAAGCAACTGTCAGAGCAGGCACCTGGGAAGCTGCATTTTTAATACTTGCAAATGTAGAGAAAGGTTCTCATCTGACTGACAATCATGACTCAGGAATGAGCTACTCAGTGTCCAGCACATAATGCACACAGTATGTAACCATACCTCCTTATAGTGGTAATTGAAATAAAAAGACCATAATGAAATGGAATAAAGCATAATGCAACTGACTAAACACAACCTATGCCACATCCAGGGAACCTATCCTATCACAGTCACCTACTGCCACGCCAGTACTCCAAAACACATGCAGCAAGCATCTTTAAATGAAGTTCTGCTTGTGGGTTTTCAATCTTCTTTTTTAAAAATATATATATTTTTATACGTTACAGAATAAACAAAACACAAAGATATGTAATGTTCTATCTAAAAAGATAATAAAATATTACATAATACATATATATGTGATATCCATAAAAACACAGAAAGACTGTTACATGGTTTTGCAAGGGTTCCTCAGGGTGAGAGAGATAGACGACAATCTTGGCTTCATGATCAGAAGGCTGGATTTATTACTTTATGATATATAATACATTATGACTATACTAAAAGGAATAGAGAGAAAAGTTCAGAAGCTGCTAGAATAGAATAGGAATCCAAAAACAAGAGAGCTCTCTGTGAATCTGTCCCAGAGAGCTTGGTCCTGTGATTGGCCCTTAATTGTACACATGGAACATGGGCCAATCACAGGTGCACCCATTGCATTCCACAGCAGCAGATAACCATTGTTTACATTCTCTCTCTGGGGCCTCAGCTTCCCAGAAGAGGAAAAATCCCAATGAAAGGATTTCTATGAAAAGATGTCCGTGACAAAAGACCACTAAGTTGGCTCTGAAAGAGACTAACAATGAAAATGTGTATTCAATTTTTTTCATTTTTTATTAAACAGCAGAGCAGAAGGCAATTGAAAACATGTCTCTGATTTCCTGCTCTTCTCAAGCTTCCCAACTAAATTCCACCTTATATTGAGATATGCTTTGCTCAGTTTCAAGAAAATTGGTGAAACAAGCTCTGATTATCAAAATATTAGCATCAAAGGAATTCCATTAAGCCTAGAAAATGCTTTAGGTCAGGTAAGAGCTGAGAAATGAGGAGAGTCATGGCTACCTGCAGCAGGTAGCTATGGGATACCCCACTCATTTCTATATTTCTCTTTTGGTTTTCTCCAGGTTTCTTTTCTTCTCTTTTTCCAGTTTCACAAAGCAAGAAGAAAGACTGAGACATTCCTATAACTATAAAGGTAGTTTTCAAGCCAAAAACTGCATCAGCAAATAAAGATCAGGAATTAAAGTTCAGAAGTATTTTGCACAGAAACTATTTTTGAAATTCTTAAGAAAGCTAAGCAAAGCACACTGTTTTAAAGTATTGAGAAGAGACAGGCTGGGCACAAAAGGCATTTCAGATGCAGCACTGCAGCTCTGTCCCTGGCAGCTCTGACCTTCTCGTCCAGCATGTCGGGGTGCTCGGTGAGCCACACGCAGAGGCACTGGAAGGCCGCCACGATCATGGAGTGCAGGTCGCGCGAGTG